TGCCCATCGACGATAGACTGGACAGGGAAAATGTGGCACATATACACCATGGAATATTATACAGCCATCAAAAACGATGAGTTTGGGTCCTTAGTAGGGGCATGGATGAACCTGGAAGCCATCATTCTCAGCAAACTGACAGAGGAGCAGAAGATCAAACGCCGCATGTTCTCACTCATAGACGGGTGTTGAACAATGAGAACACATGGACACAGGGAGGGGAGCACTACACACTGGGGTCAGTTGGGGGGAAATAGGGGATGGACGGTGGGGGGTGGGGAGCTGGGGAGAGATAGCAAGGGGAGAAATGCCAGATGTAGGTGATGGGGAGGAAGGCAGCAAATCACACTGCCGCGTGTGTACCTATGCAACAATTTTGCATGTTCTTCACATGTACTCCAAAACCTAAAATGCAATAAAATAAGTAAATGGGGAGAAAAAAAAAAAAAGAAGAAGGAGACACTCTCCTGGATGATTTAAAAAAAAAAGAGGAACCATCAATGATAGACTGGACAGGGAAAATGTGGCACATATACACCATGGAATATTATGCAGCCATCAAAAATGATGAGTTCATGTCCTTTATAGGGACATGGATGGACCTGGAAGCCATGATTCTCAGCAAACTGACACAGGAGCAGAAAATCGAACACCGCATGTTCTCACTCATAGGCAGGTGTTGAACAATGGGAACACATGGACACAGGGAGGGGAGCACTAGACACTGGGGTCTGTTGGAAGGAAATAGGGGAGGGACAGTGGGGGGTGGGGAGTTGAGGGGGGAGGGCATGGGGAGAAATGCCAGATATAGGTGAGGGGGAGGAAGGCAGAAAATCACACTGCCACGTGTGTATCTATGCAACAATCTTGCTTGTTCTTCACATGTACCCCAAAATCTAAAATGCAATAAAAAAAAAGAGGAACCATCCAACCTATTGTGATCTAGCAGGGAGAGCCCCTAGAGTATTTATGTTCTGACTGCCCTCCCTGGGGAGATTTCCACTGGCTGAACACAATCAGAAGCCAGAGGGCAAATGTGTTATTTGATACAATCCTTATAGGCAAGTCCCCTTGGGCACAGAGAAGGTTGAAAAAAAAAAAAGTAGAGAGTGAATCTGGAGAGAAAGTGGGAAATGTTCAAAGTGGTAGGACTCTTTTGCTGCAGGTAACAGAAAATATAATCAAGCTTGTCCTAAGCAAACAAGGAGGGAATTCATTGACTTGTGTATCTTAAAAGTATAGGAGTACCTCTATCTTCACACTCAGCTCAGCTTGATCCCGAATCTCAAAGGATGTCCCTGGGATTCAGTATCTTTCCATCTCTCAGCTCTGTTCTCTTCCATGTAGACTTCATTCAAAGCCTCCATGTGGTAGCAAGATATCTGATAGTAGTTTCAGCTTGCTATTCCAAAAAATAATAATAATAATAATAATTAAACAAAACTTAGGTTCTTTCAACACTTTAATCAGAGATCCTGGGCTTGACTACTGTTGTTCTAAATCAAGTCACCTGCCCATTCCTATTGGTAATAAATTACCAATTTATTCGTAAGTTTAAGCAAGATAATTGTCCTGTCCTGAGTCGCATGCCTATCTTTAGACTCTGTGCTACAGGCCAACCACGGCCCAAGGCAGAGAAGGAAGAAGGGTGAGTCCTTGAGTACTGTTACCAAAACTAGGAAAAATAGATGCTAGGCAACCAAAAAACAACAAATGACCACTAAAGTCTACAATACTGCATTTGGAATCCAATTCATCTCTTAGCTCTCAAGTATCATGATGTTCAGGAACATAAGAGCCTACCAGTTTAGGCTAAGTAGCATTTAAAAATATGGTGACAATTTCTACCTTCTGATTTCCACATTTTATGCCAATAAAGATGTGAAACAAATATTTATATCTATATCTATACATTTATATATAGATATACATATATATAAAACTTGCCATATGCAACAATTTGATTTGTTGTGCTATTAAATATTTCTATTGCCTTTCTCAATTTTATAAGCACTTTCCACAACATAAGCATTCTCTTTAGGCTGCTAACCCCTTAAAAAAGAAAGCCATTTCTATTTTTGTTATTATATTTTCCTCCCATATTGGCATAGGAAGATGAATTAATGAGTCAATTTGATGTTAATTATAAAATGACACTTTGGGCTATGCTCTGAAAAGGAAGTGTCATTTCTTTCCCAAGATGAAAGGTTATGAAAACTAAAGATCACATAGTCACAGAAATTTAAAGCTGGAAACTCACAAGTTATTTTAGGCATTAAGAACCAACAAAATCCAAGTGACCCTAAATTAGATAGCATTTTATAATGACATCTTGTATAAATTAAGTTTGTGTCCCAGAGAAACCATAGTATGATGAGATAGCAATGGTAAAGCTGCTGTATTTTAACCAGAAACAGTACTACATGAACTTGCAACCCACAGTAAATTTTTCCAAGTGAGTGGCAAGGAACTTTTAGAACTGCACTTAGATGTATATTTTCCTTAAATCAACCTGATGTTTAGAGAAGAAAAGCTTTAACCAAGTAGACAAAGCATTCTGTTTTCTCAGATCACATTGATAGGGTAGATGGAGATTTTTTATTGCAGCTGCATATTTGCTAGTAAGACAAAGTGAAGTATCCAAGTATTTAATCATCACATCTTTAAAATGATAGAGAAGATCATTTCTTTTTAGCTGTCCATGATGCTTTTACCTTTCCTTTCAATAACATACCTACATTTTACTTTGTAGGTTGCTCACCTACACAAAGTGCATTAGTTTCTCACAGATTTGTTGGCTGGTTTCACCTTTCTCTATAGAAATAAGTACGTTTCTAAAATTATTCAGTAATGAATCTAAAGCTACATCAATTGGAGAGCAGGATATCATTTTATTTTAGTCTGTTTAACAAGAAACACACTGAGACATACAAAAATAAATAGTACACTTAGCACTATTTAAGATTGCCTTCTTTTTGCCCTCTTCCTCTTCCCTAGTTGTTGCTGAGCTAGGAGTCTTAACTAAATGCCACCATGCCATCCTGATAGAAGAGTATGTACTTTGAATCTTAACTGTTATCATTCTTAAGAGCTGGTATCCTTGGAGATCATGTTCCTCCACTGTGTTGATCATCTATTGAGATGTGGCAGCATTTTCTTCTGATCTTACAGCATCTTCCCTAGGGGTTTCCTCGTCCAGGCTGAGGAAACAAATAATTCTCCTCCAAGTCTGTGGAGTTCTCCTTTCTCACCTATATTCTGTGCCCTTTCTTTCTTGTGGACATAGAGAAACATCCACTGCTTTTTCGCATACCTCTTGGACTCCACAGGGTCCCAGGTTGTCAGCACATATTCACTGTGCCAAAACATCCTTTATGCATTTTCTGATCCATTTGTTTCAAGTTGCTACAGCACAGTAAACCTCGGCAAGCCTACTATAGCTCCAGAGAGAGAGTGTAAGACACAGAGACTAGACCCATCAGAGGAAGACGGGGAGAAGAAATTTACCTCTACTCTCTTCTTTTCTTGTACTTGTACCAGAATTTATTCCAAGGCAGAAACCAACAGAAAAAAATGCCGAAGTTCTTTTTCCTTTCTTCTGTCTCCATTCCTACTCTCAATTTTTATACATATTTATAACAGCTCTTTAAAAGTCCAAGTCCGTTAATTTCACCTGTTTCTAGAACTGTTACTATTGATGGATTTTTTAACCTGGTTATGGGTCACATTTTCATGGATTTTTTTGCATATCTAGTAACTTGTGATATCTATATATATATATTGGATATGCTGAATTACATTGTTTATTTTGAAGCTTCCTTTTCAACATTGTTAAGAAGGGTCTAGAATAGATTTTACTTCAAGGCTAGTTTTAGCCCTTCTTCTTAGGACTAAAACCAAGAAGGAGTATGGCCTTTTGGGGATCTCTAATGAATTGCCTGAGTGTTCCACAAGGTCTTTCCACCCTAGTCGCTTAGAATTCAAACTGTGCCAGCCCTGTGAAATTCTGATATTTGTTCAGCTTATAGCTTTCCAGTAGTTACACTTTCCCTTGTATTTGTTCTTTGGCCTTGTGGAGTCTCACCCTATATTTGTGCAGATTAGTTATTGAATACAAAAAAAAAAAAAAAACTATGCAGATTTCTGGAGTTATTTCCCTGCTTAGCTCTCTCCTCTATGGCCTTCAACCCATAGATTTCAGCTGTTTGCACCTCTCCAAATTCTAATATCTGTCTCATCATCTTAGCAAGGCTGCCATGCTCTGTCTGGGTTTCATCTCTCTGCTCCTTTGCCCAATAAGTATTTCTCACAAGAAAACTTGGCAATAATAGCAGTTATATAGTTTATTTTCTTCTCTCAGACAGCACTATCCTTCATGGCCTATTGTCCAATATCTGAAAGCGGTTGCTTCACATAATTTTGTTGCTTCCTTCTGTGGCAGGGGATTTGTTTACGGTGAAAGGGTTAGTCTAGTACCTGTTACTCAGTCACAGCTGCAATCAGGAGTCAAGGCTTTGGATTTTCCTCATGTACACTATTATTGAAAGTCCCCAAAACAATAGTTATCCTTCTATGGTAAGTACCCAACTGAGAAAAGGATCACCATTTAATCATGCAGACCAGGAAAAAAATCAGTAATTCCTAAGTCATGCCACCATACCTTATCCCCAGTTGCCATAGGTCTGCAAACTAGAATTTGTTTACTGTCAAATTTTATCACTACTGCAATGACCATCATCCAGGTATGTGACATGCTAAGATAGGGCTGGAAGACTGATTGACAATACAGGACAAAAGATAACTTACTGGAACAGAAGAGAAGATGGATACAGGAGCTAGAAATGACTTCCAGAAAAACAAACAAAAAAACTAAGTACTGCTCTTTTCCAATTAAACTGAAAAGAGTTCCTTAGGGAGCTGGTATTTGATGACTGCATGGTCTTTAAGAAAATAAAACACAGTGTCTGGAAGAAACACAGTGTCTGGAAGAGAGTAAATAGATGCTAAAGTGAGGAAGATCTAAAAGAATTTTCATACCTCCCTCCAAGACCTAAGATGTGATATGGTAGGGCTAGCATTAGAGAGGAAGTGTGTCATATGCCCCAAGTGAGTATGGGTCTTGCATGGATCTTAGAGAAACTGAAATGAACACCTATGATAGAGCTTCAGGAAAATTCAAAGTTCCATACAACCTAAATGGACAAGCATGCCAAAAATATCATATATGAGTTCTCAGAACAGATAAGGCATCAATGTTTCAAAAAGACAAACAGTTTTATGAAAGACAGACTGCCCAGAAATATCTAGGCAGCAACATGCTGTCAATCCACTTAGTATTAGCTATATAAAGTCTGTCTCCCAGTTCAACTCTCTTGCTCCATAAGCACTGGGAAAAGAGTTTGTGTAAACCAAGACTATTCCATAAAACAAATATTCTAGTAAATGGTACAGAAATTTCACTGATACAGTTTGCACAACACTAGCTCCAAGGGTCCTACAGAGACTATTCTGTTATGCAATTCAGAAAATGAGTTATCTTTAAATTATCTTAAAATAAAAGGTAATGGCAACAGCTTAGAAATATTTTAATTATACAGATATAATCAAGGTGATGGTATTTATTATTGTGAAATTATACTATTTTATTGTGAATTTTTTTCTTCCCTAAATCTTTAAATTATAAAAAGGTACTAGTTATTTTATTCTGTGGAGCTGATGGGGCTATACAAAACAGTATACTTTTCCTTTCATATCTAAGTCCATAGGTTTATAATTAAGGAAGATTCCTCAGGATGAAAATAAAACCAGCAATAACCAGTCACGCTATCTTTTTTCAACTGGGATTTTTCTATGATTTGTTCATTATCGAATTCCCAGCACCTACAGCTATCTGGAACAAAGAGATAGTCAAATAAATGTTAGGTGAATTTCTAAATTACAGTTCTCATATTCATGCTAGTCACCATGATGCCAATGAAAATGAATACAATAAATTCTGGATTATTGGCTAATGAAAAGTCACAGAAAAAAATAACAACAAAAACATAGCCAAACAACTTCCCTAACATAATGATGTTTCTTTTGTTTGTTAGAGGTAAAATGTGGCCACAGAAATAGACATGAAATGGGTAACGGCAAAATTCTAGGCTGTTACAATTAAGAATGATCTTTGATAGCTCAGAAAAGAAAGTCACCTAGAGTCAATGATACATGTGAAATTGGTCAGTGTGTGACACAAAATTTTTTACTCAGTGCTCGAAACATAAATTATTTTTCAGAAACCACTATAGAGAATAAGAAATATCTTTAAGTTCTAGATCTTGAAAGTGACAAAATAAAAAAGCACTATAAGCTGAGAAATTCTGTTGATAAAGGCCTTTGAATGAACGTAAAGAAATTTTAGACCAAAAAACTATGAAATCTCTACAATTCACATTATAACTCTGACATAAGCAAGAAACAATGATTCAACTCAGACTGATATTGACTGTGTATAAGTGTGGAACCCGGTAGATGAAATGAGGCAGAATTTCTATAGATTCCTAGTTACTTCAGCTGTTCCTCAAATAATGTGGTTTCCAGCTGCTTCACCATCATGGGGTTGTAATGCTTTAAATAGGCTTCATTGTCCTAAAATATGGCATTGAAGTAGGACATAATTGCGATGGTTAATTATATGTCGACTTGGCTGGGCCATAGTGCCAAGATATGTGATCACACATTATTTGAAATGTTTCTGTGAGGGTATTTTGGGGTGAGATTAACATTTAAATTGATGAGCATTGAGTAAAGCAGATTTCCCTCCATCATTTGGGTAAGGCTTCATCCAGCTAGCTGAAGACCTGAATAGAACAAAGGGTTGACCCCCACCAAGAAAGAGGAAAATCTACCAGCAGAGAGCATTCAGACTTAAACTGCAGCATTAGCTTTTCCTTGGTCTCCAGCTTGCCAGCCTACCCTGTATACTTTGATTTGCCAGTCTCCTACATCACATGAGCCAATTCCTTAAAATAAATTTCCTTCTAAATATACACATACCCATCTTATTGGTTCTGCTTCCCTGAAGAACCATAATAGAGGAAATATGCAGATATTTATCCCATAAGCATGGACTACCACAGAGAGACTATCCCTAGTCACAGATAAAATGAAATAAACAATTATTAACACAAAATAAAAGACAAAATCCAAATTTAAATCTGGAGTGGTAGATAAAAGGACAAAAAGAGAAGATTACATTTGTTTTTAGCCGACACATCATTCAACTCATATTTGAGCTTATTTTAAAACAAACAAACAAAAACCTTCCATAAACTCAAGTAAAAAAAAAAAAAATCCACCTCTGTGCTTCTGAAGTATCTAATCACCATGATCCCTGAACCTGTATAGAAAGCACTTTTATTTCAGGTTTAACCTGCAATATGGGTGAATTTTGTTATGTTACCCTTTGTCAGTTGCTATAATACCCAATGACATGTTTTGTTTATCATAACTACCTCCCAAGCCAACAGATGGTCCCAATGCCCAGAACTGAAGTTTATTTACAGCCCCCAACTTCCATCCAATCTGGTTAGCTAAGTCTTTCTCAGCCACATATATGACACACTATGACCCATCCATTACTCTGAGTGAGTGTGGTATTTACATGTAAATATTTGTACATATTCATTCAAATACATTTATTTAGTATCTGCTACATGACAGGCACTGAGCACAGAGCCATGAAGTATAGAGCATGGAGCCATGAACAAGACTGATACGGCTCTGCCTTCATGGATCTTATATTTTAGTGGGGAATACAGGTAATCAATAAGGAAATAAATTATGATAAATGTACGATAGAAATAAATGGAGTGCTGTGAGAGAGAAGTAACCCTGAAGTTGAGAACTGAAGATAGAGAGAAATTAAAGTGAGGGAAGACTATTTCAAAAAACAAGTTAAAAAACAAAAAAAAAAAAACGAAAAAACAAAAAAGAAAAGGAAAAAAAAAAAACAAGTACAAAAGCTATAAGGTGGGGAAAACTTGGTGTATTTAGAAAATACCAGAAAATCGATGTGGTTGAATTCTGATGATTGATGAAAAAGGTTGAAAATGAAAATGAGTTAGGAAACATAGGAAAAGACCAGATTATGAAGGGCTTTATAATGTGTTACTTGGGCAAAGATTGGAGCCCTCATGAACTTAGAAGTAAAATTACTTTCTGAGAAAGTAAAACCACAAAAGATCAAAGCATAATGAACAAGAAACACCATCTGGGGAAATGACTACAATCAGAAAAGAAAGTGTGTGTGTGTGTGTGTGTGTGTGTGAATTAGAGCAATGTACAATTCTAACTAACATCCTATGTCTAGGATGTTAGTCTAGACATAAGAGTATATTTTAGAGTGATTAAAGTATAGACATAGAAAAATTTGATTAGTATATTATTATATCTTAAGCTGAAACCTGATCAGTGATATAGAACCCTGCCAGAAGTAACCTGTTAACAAGTCTGAGATATTCCTTAAAACAGGGGTCCCCAACCCCAACCACAGACAGGTACCAGTCCATGGCCTGTTAGGAATCAGGCCACACAGCAGGAGGTGAGCAGCAGGCAAAAGAGCTAAGCTTCATCTATTCTTACAGCCACTCCCTATCGCTCACATCACCCCCTGAGCTCCACCTCCTGTCAGATCATCGCAGCATTTGATTCTCATAGCAGTGAGAACCCTACTGCGAACTGCACATGCAAGGGATCTAGGTTGCACGCTCCTTAAGAGAATCTAATGCCTGATCATCTGTCACTGTCTCCCATCATCCCCAGACAGGAACATCTAGCTGCAGGAAAATAAGCTCAGGGCTCCCACTGATTCCACATTATGGTAAGCTGTGTAATTATTTCATTGTATATTACAATGTAGTAGTAACAGAAGAAAAGAGCACAATAAATGTAATGCGCTTAAATCATCCCAAAACCATCCCAACTGCCCTAGTCCATGGAATAATTCTTCCATGAAATCACTCCCTGGTGCCAGAAAGGCTGGGGACCGCTGCCTTAAAGGTAACCTCTGTAGCCATCATTTGCTGTGTGTGAGGGAGAGGGGGCTGGAGACAAAAAGGAACACATATTACTTGGTTGAGTTCTTAGTAGCTTCCTGTCACTGCTTCAAAAAGGGTAACTGTGCTGTCATCTATTTTATATATTAGACTTCCATTTTAAGAAAGTTCAAACAAAACTGAACAGTGTATTTGAAAGTAGTTTTCAAATATAGACACACATAGCAGCAGTCATATTCTCAATATATTTGCTATTAACATGTTATATATTTGCATAGGCATATATGCATATTTTATATATTATATGTGTGTGTGTGCGTGTGTGTGTGTGTGTGTGTGTGTGTGTGTGTGTGTGTAAGGAAAGAGATTAAAGGGAGAAAGAAAAGGATGCCCAGGTAAGCAGAGTTTTTGATTGTCTTAGAATAATATACATGTAGAGGAAATGAATGCATAACATTATACAGTTCGATGAGATTGGTCATCAAAATCACCCAACAGGCTGCTTTTGTTCTTATTTGGGGCTTACAAACAAGCTTCTGACTGAAGTTGGCTTTCCACAGGAGAATTTATTGACAGTCAATATTAGTTTCTGATTCACACGCATTTATAGTTCACCTGTAATATATTGTCAGTGTGATTTCTACATCAGTGTTTAGTTTGACTAGTGTGTATCAGTATGTCAAGCCTTACTTGAATTTCGGCACTTGAATAACTAAGGATCAGTGTCCAGAACTCAATCTACCTCATGGAACTGCTAACTGAGACTTCCGAACCACGATCAGCCAATCTCTCCCTGTGAGTTCTGTGGCTTGTCCATTTTCTAACTACAGCTAAAGGAACTATAAAGAATCACATTCATTTAAAGAGACCAACCACAGTAGGAATCCACACTTACCAGCACTGCAATACAATAGGAAAATAACTTCATACTGATTTCATAGAAAAAGAAGCACACTGGCTTAAAGAGAGACATGCAGTTTTAGCACTTTAACTGTTTTCATCATAGGGCACTGAATGTTAAGGATTAGATCTCAAAGTTCATCTTATCCAACCCCTTAGTCTTAAAGGTGGCAAGAGAGGCATGGAAGATTCGATTATTTACCCAAAATACGGCTGGGATGCCAGGCCACGTTCTTTCTACTACGATAACTCCCTATTTCAAAGTATTTGCTCACACTCTTAATCTTCTTGTAGCTGTTGAAACTTCACATTCTCATTCTATGCAATGAAAAGTAAATTTTAAAAGGAAATTGCATTTCCTAAGAAATACAAAGACATCCTATACAACTTTCTCCCTTTTATTATGAGCAATAGGTATTTGATCAATTCTGCCTAGATAACAGCCAAAGTGATACTTTTATAATGAAAGTCATAATGTGCCCTCCTCCTTAAAACCCTGAAGCTACTCCCAACCAGTAACAGTAAAAGCCAAGTTCTTGCAATGCCCTGCAAAGCCCCACACCTCCATCCTCCATGCTCACTCTGTTCCTGCCACACCGTCCTTCTTGCTATTTCTCAGATATATCAAATACCTTTCTGTCCCAGGACACTTGCATTAGATGTTCCCTCTACCTGAAACTCTCTCCCCTCAAACAACCTGAATGACTAACTCCTCATCTACTTCAAATCTTTGCTCAAATGTCACCTTCTTAATGAGATCTGCCATAATTATTTAAAACTACTATACCCATCGCTCTGTACTTCCAGTGCCCCTTATACTAACTTACTCCTTTCTCTATAGGATCTATCACCTTCTAATATATGCGCTACATCATTTTCTTATTTATTATGTTTGTTACTCATTAGATGTCTCCCTCCAGAATAAAATCTCCATAGAGGCAGGGATATTGGTGTATTTTTTTTACTATTATATCCCTAACGTCTGAAATAGAGCCTAAGCCCCAAATATTTATGAAATGAATAAATTAATGCATTTGGCAATTTGACCACTATGTCTACAGATAACCAAATGCTATGTCAAATGTGGCCCAGATCAAGGTTAAATCCTTTCCCCAGCATACTGGATCTTCCAATGAATTCCATTAAGAAGGACAATATACTAAACCACTAACGTATTTCTACTCCCTGAAATTCTCCTTTGTTGCTGTCACCAATAAAATAAAAAAGAATTACTGTTGAATAATTAGATAGATGACCAATTACTTTCGCATTAAAATAGGTATCAAAGCAATCCCGAATGTATTGACAAAGAATACTATTTATTGAGCATTAAACTTTCAATTCTTTTCAACTGACATGTTCTCTGGTATAGTATTCTGAGAAACTGCTACAAAACAAGCATCTAAGAGGTATAGAGGTGTGTGTGTGTGTGTGTGTGTGTGTGTGTGTGTGTGTGTGTGATCTATAAGCAGCCATGACCAAGAACTTCATAAGTACCTTAATCTATTCTATATCAGTATTACATACATCTTTTAACTTTTTTTCTAACAGTCATGATAGATTTAATCTGAAACATCTTCATTCAAATCCTAATGATATGAATTGATTTAAATTAAAATAATACCCTCAAAATATTCATCAGTCAGTAAAAGGTGGAGACAATATCAGAGATAATTATCCGAAAATGACTCTATATACTAGGGTCAGAGTTCCTCATCCTAAGTCCTTGTTTAGTTAGCAGGTTTTCTGGTGAAGGGGATAAAACTGGATCCCATGATGATCTTACAGCACCCTCAAGTGGCTTAGACTGACAATGTTTTTCTTCTGGAAGAAAGGTGCTAGTCTATGATATGAAATACAGAAGGTGGTAGAATCTTTTCAAACAAAAACTTTGGAATGAATGAAGATGTGCCAACCCTTATCAGAAGGGCTTGCAGTTTGAATTACTCCTCTAACAATGCGGAAGACACTTGGCTGAGTTAGCCATAGTTTCCATTTAGTATTCCTCACTCTTTGTTGAGTCACTTCAGGACAGCTTTGAATAGAGTGTTGAACACAGATAGCTATCTTATATCATAGCAAATCTGTAATCTGAACCTTTTGCACCATGTGCTTAGAAATGAAACCAGTAGCCCCATTATTTGAAAAAAGAGTTTGAAGTGATTTTAAATAACAACATAGTAACAGATATTTTTATTAGTCACAGTTCACAAGAGAAACAGACAACAGGAGATACACACACACACACACGCACACACACACATTATGAAGACTTAACTCATATAATTACAGAGGATTATGGAGGCTGAGAAATCTTGTGAGCAGCCATCTGCAAGCTGGAGACCAAGGAAGGCTAATAGTTGGCATAATTTAGTCTAAGTCCAAAGGCCAAGGAGAGCCAATGATATAAATCCTAGTCTGAGGGCAAAAGAAAATGAAATGAGATGTCCCAGTTCAAATAGAGAGGCCAAAAAAAGGCAAATTTTCCCTACTTTTGCCTTTTGTTCTATTCAGGCCCTCAATTAATTTCTTTATTTTTCTTTTTTATTTTTAAGACAGGGTCTCACTCTGTTGCCCAGGGTAGGAAAGGCTCACTGCAGCCTCAACCTCCCAGGCTCAGGTGATTTTCCCTCCTCAGCCTCCTGGGTAGCTGGAACTACAGGTATGCAACACCACATATGGCTAATTTTTGTATTTTTTGTGGAGACAGAGTTTTGCCATGTTGCCAAGGCTGGTCTTAAACTCCTGGCCTCAAGAAATCTGCCCTCCTGGCCCTCCCCAAGTGCTGGGATTACAGGCATGAGCAACTGATCCTTGTCCCTCAACAGATTTGATGATGACCACCTACATTGGGGAGGGCAATCTACTTTACTCAGTCCACCAATTCAAATGCTAATGTCATCTGGAAACACTCTCACAGATATACCTAAAAATAGTCTTTAACCAATTATCTGGACATCCCCTGGTCCAGTCAAGATGACTGTTAACTACAGGTTGAACATCCCTATTCCAAAAATCCAAAATCCAAAATGCTCCAAAGTTGGAAAGTTTTGAGCTCTCACATAATTCCACAAGCAGAAAATTTCACACCTGACCTCGTGCAGTAGATCCCAGTCAAAATGTAGGAACACAACACAACACTGGGTTTATTATCCAGTGTTATTGTTATTTTATTGTCCCAAGGGGAAAATAAAATTATCTTCAAGGTGCAGTGGCTCATGCCTGTAATCCCACCACTTTGGAAGGCCAAGTTGGGCAGATCATGAGGTCAGGAGATCGAGACCATGCTGGCCAACATGGTGAAACCCCGTTTCTACTAAAAATACAGATAAATTAGCTGGGCGTGATGGCACACACCTGTAATCCCAGCTACTCAGGAGGCTGAGGCAGGAGAATTGCTTGAACCCAAGAGGCGGAGACTGCAGTGAGCCAAGATTGCGCCACTGCACTACAGCCTGGGTGACAGTGCAAGACTGTCTCAAAAAAAAAAAAAATTACCTTCAAGTTATGGGTATAAGGTGCATAAAAAACATAAATGAATTTTGTGTTTAGACTTGAGTACCCAAGGTATCTCATTACATATATGCAATTTTTCATTTTTAAAATGGCAGAGTAGAAAAAGCAAAGGCTACGAGTTGGTGGCTTCTTAATGTATTAGTCAAGACCTGTGGTTCCAAAGTACAAATTTCCTCCATCTGGCTTAAGCAACAAAAGGGATTATTGTCAGGAAAATAAAGAGAGTAACTGGAGAAGAACAAAGCTGGAGAACTGGCACTACCTGACTTCAAGAGTTAGTATAAAACTATAGTAATTAAGACAGTGTCGTATTGACAAAAGAATAGATAAATAGATCAATGGAACAGAGTAAAGAGCCCAGAAACAGGCCTCCATAATACATAAGTACCATCAACTGATCTTTAACAAAAGTGCAAAGGCACTACAATGAAGAAAAAAGATTTCAGCAAATAGTGCTGGAACAACTGGATATCCACATGCAAAAATATGCATCTATACACAGGTCTTACATCCTTCACAAAACTAACTCAAAATGAATTATAGATCTAAATGTAAAGCTATAAAACTCCTAGAAGATAACAAAGAAGAAAATCTGGATGACTTTGGGTTGGATGATAACTTTTTTTTTGAGAGAGAGTCTAGGTCTGTTGCCCAGGCTGGAGTGCAGTGGTGCGATCTTGGCTCACAGCAATCTCCGCCTCCTGAATTCAAGCAAGTCTCCTGCCTCAGCCCCCTGAGTAGCTGGGATTACAGGCGCCAGCCACTACGCCCAGCTAATTTATGTATTTTTTGTAGAGACAGAGTTTCACTGTGTTAGCCAGGCTGGTCTTAAACTCCTGACCTTATGATCTGCCCACCTTGGCCTCCCAAAGTGCTGGGATTACAAGCATAAGCCACCACACCCAGCCTGGTGATGACTTTTTAGATACAATACCAAATACATGGTCCATAAAAGAAAAAAAATTGATAAGCTGGATTTCATTAAAATTAAAAATTTCTACTCTGCAAAAGACACCATTGGGAGAATATAAAGAAAATCCGCAGGCCAAGAGGAAATACTTGAAAAAAGAAAAAAAAAAATATATATATATATACACACACACACACACACACACACACACAACTTTTAAAACTCAACAATAAGAAAGCATACAACCCAATTAAAAAATGGCCCAAAGATCTTAACAGACACCACACCAAAGAAGATCTACAGATGGCAAATAAGCATATAAAAACATATTCCACATCACATATCTTCAGAGGAATGCAAACGGAAATAACAATGAGATACCACTACCCACGTATTAGAATGGCCAAATTTCACCACCCTGACATCAAATGCCAGTGATGACGTGGAGTGACAGGAACTCTCATTAATTGCTGATGGGCGTGTGAAATGGTACAACTACTTTGGGAGACAGTTTGGTGCTTTTTTCACAAAACTGAACATATTCTTACCACACAACCCAGCATTTGTACTCCTTGGTATTTATGCAAAAGAGTTGAAAACTTATGTTCACCCAACAACATGCACATGTATGTTTATAGCAGCTTTGTTCAGAATTGCCAAAACTTGGAAGAAACTAGTATGTCCTTCAGTAGGATAACGGATAAATTGTTTTATAAATCCAGCAAATTGAATACTATTTAGCACTAAAGATGTATGAGCTATCAAGCCATGAAAAGACATGAAGGAAACTGAAATGCATACTACTAAGTAAAGAAGCCAGTCTGAAAAAGCTATATACTATATGATCTCAACTATATAACCTTCTGGAAAAGGCAAAAACATAGATGCAGTTAAAAGATCTGTGGTTATCAGGTTTTTCAAGGAGAAAAAGAATAGACAGAGCACAGAGGATTTCTAGGGTGGTGAAACTGCTTTGTAATACACTATAATGGTGACTATGTCATCATACATTCGTCCAGACCTACAGAATGTGTGGCACCACGAATGAAACCTAAGATAAACTATGGACTTTGGATGATAAAGATGTGTCAGTGTAGGTTCACCAATTTAACAAACATACCACTCTGGTAGGGGATGATGATGATGAGGGAGGCTATGCATGTGTTGGGGCAGAGGACACATGGCAAATTTCTTACCTTCTTTTCACTTTTGCTTTTAACCCAAAATTGCTCTAAAATATAAAGTCCATTTTTTTTCTAAAAAGAAGAAAGTCTCAAAAAAGATAGTAAGACACTGAAGTTAGAAGTATCATAATAGACTTCTAGGACCTTATTTGGTATCCACCATCCCTGACACACACACATGCCACCCTTGACCCCAGATAAAGGTGAAGCCTTGTTAAATTTGTTGGCATCAGGATCAAGAGCCAGAAACAATGTATCTAGAAGCATTTCTCATAAAGTCATGGATTATTTGTAGGTCCTTAACAATTGGTTATACAAATTTCTGAGATTAAAAAAAAAAAAAAAAAATAGACCTTATCTTTTGCAGAGGATGTCACTAGCTGCACAAGTTATTTGTGGAAACTTGGGAGATCCAAGAAAAGCTACAATGAGATATGCTGCTTCTCCCACTTCTTTATGTGGCTACCTTGTTTCACCTAAGTTTCTGCATTCTTTGCTAAAGAAATCAGGAATTTACTCTGTGTGAGTGGGTGCATGTGTGTGTTGGATGCAGAAAGAGGCACCAGGGGTTTCTTCCCACCAATCTAAGGCCTACCTGAAACGACACGCTTACATAACCAAAATGTCTATAATTAAAATATCCCTACCTAGTTCCATTTCACACTTGCTGTCTCCAGAATGCAACTTGCTTTTTCACACCTCTACTTCTTTAATTATATTGCCCTCTGTGCCTGGTCTGCACACAGTTGCCTCCCCCTCTCTTTTCTTACCCCCAGTAACTCCCACTATCTCACTTCACAGAGAAGAGGGATCTATGCAGACACCCTATTAGGTGTCCACAATAGCACTTACCACTGTGCCATATTTGTTTCTTATGTCTAATCCCGTGTTGGACTGTGAGCCACTCAAGAACCAGAAATGCTTTCTTCACCTTTATATCTCTAGGGTCTAGAGTGTTTATTAAAGAATGTACATATGTGTTTATTTAGAAATGGAATTTAACGTCACAATAAAAACAGGCACAGGAACCAACCATCAAAGATGTTTTAGATGTCTTGCCTTCTTCCCCCTCACCACATCCCACACTTTCCCCGTCCCTATCCTCAACATATTCATTTAGTTATTTATATTGCTTAATCAGAAAAGTTTCTTGGAAAATATATTTTTTACGGTAAGGCAAGAAGTAAAAAAGAAAAAAAGTATTTTCTTCCTGCGCCCATTTGAGAAGCCCCGTATGTGGTACTGGTTTCTCTAAAATGTGAAGCAAAGCTAGTCTCATTTCCTTTCCTAACTCTCTCCAGTCCTATGTCAAAGATCCAGTGCTCTGTCCCCTTTAAAGTCAAAGGGGTGTCTGTCTCAAAAGAAAATGAATTCAAATACACCTGTAATTGTAAAACCCTTTATCATCTGCAACAGGAGTGGTATTCTGGAAGTAAAGAATAAGACTGCCTTGGCACCCAACTAATGTGGCTACCTCCACATAAGGAACTAACCAAAGACAGAAAATCCCACCCTGAGTTTTGAGTACACTTGCTTGAAGTTCATTTCTTCTGTCACTACTCTGCAAACAGCAGTCATACAAAAAATGTCACTCTTGGTAAGTGCTGCTTACCCTCAAAAAGGAGCTGCTTTCTATGCTCATGGTCACTTTAGAGATTGGAGACATGAGGTGGGGGAAGGTTGTCCTAGTGTTGGAATTAGGAAGAAGTATAAACAGACCCCATAGTGATAAAACCATGTGCTACTCAAGAACGGCCTCAGAAGGTGACATTCCCAGCCTAGGTGCCACTGTTTGGCATCTGGTTCTCGGACAGATGGTTTCTTAGTTCCTCCAAAAAATTAGGTCCTTGTTCACAGACTGACTCTAACACAAACCACATATTTACCAACATGTAAATATTTACCAAGATTTTTAGTGGTCAGGTTTCCTTTTCAGTGACAGCACTCTTTCCCAAAAACAAGCATTCTCTTGAGTTATGGCTTAAAACAAGTCAGTTGGTACCATTTATTAAAGTTGATATACCCAAAGAAGCTTGAAATGTTTTTTTGTGTGTTTGTTTGCCACGATCTCGGTTCATTGCAACCTCCGCCTCCTGGATTCCAGCGATTCTTGTGCCTCAACCTCCTGAGCGGCTGGGACTATAGGCATGCGCCACCATACCCGGCTAATTTTTGTATTTTTAGTAGAGACGGGGTTTCGCCATGCTGGCCACGCTGGACTGAATTCCTGACCTCAATGATCTGCTCTCGGCCTCCCAAAGTGCTGGGATAACAGGCGTGAGCCACCGCGCCCGGCCCAAATTTATCTTTCACACTTGCATTCTTGTTTGTTGCATTTTGTCAAGTCTCAGTAAACTATTTATCTGGGTTTTCCACAAAACAGTGTGACGCTATCGATTATGTTCTGGGCTAGATCTCCTATACAAAAGTGGTAACACAGTGAAGGGCAAGTTTTCCTGAAAGACACACACGGTGGGAAGCGGGGAGACTAATGCCACCGTTTATTTCTGTTCCAGAGAACTACACTGAACTATTTATACTGAACATATCTAAACGGCACAAATTTTATACCGGAATAAAACAAAGCTACATTATCTCAGAATTAGGGTTCGTTAGACCTTCTCTGAGACAAAATCCTCAGTCCAGCAACTCTGCCTGTGAAGACCCATTAACAGTCCGTTTGGAACCCTAACTCCACCTGTTACTAGCTGTGACATTGAGCGGTTCACGGAGGTTCCTGAGCACGTCTCGGCTCCCTCAGATGGAAGCACGGAATCTACCGCAGGGGTTACGTCCGCAAGTCAGTAGGGAATGGGGGACCTGCGCTGAAATTCCCTTTGAAAACCCCTTGAGTCGCCCATCGCTACACATCGCCGTCGAGGAAGCCCTCCAGACGCTCACTGCGGAGCGGCCGCCGAGGCCAAGTAAGAAACGCGGGTCTGCGCTCCAGGGATCTGAGGCCGGCGTGGCGGCTGCACGGGCGAGACACTGCAGCCATTCCGGTTTCGGAACTCACACTCACTCCCAGCAAGCGGGGTGTGGACGGCGAACGCCACCCCAGGTGCTTAACAAACGCCCGGTCCGTCCTTTCCTCAGCCCTTTGCGGCACCCCGAAACGCTCCCGGAGCCGCGGGGAAACGCGGGCACACACCCGGGCGTGGTTCAGGGAGGGAGGACGCTCGTGCGCGGGCCTCGTCGGGGGCGCTGACCCGGCACCGGCACTCGGAGCGCCTCCATGAACACGAGAAGGAACTATTATTTACCCCAGATTGGAGTGCGAGCTATTTCGCCGTAACAACGACCTCACGGACATTTCTAAGACCAAGCTTCTCACAGACAACACTCCCGGAAGCCCTAGTCCGCCTCGGGCCCCAGCAGTGCCGCGCCCAATCCTCCGCGGTTCCGGAGCCTCGCCCGGTCTCGCGAGACCGAGGCTGAGCCCGCCCGCGCCGCCGTGGGGGCGGTCCCGGAACACTTCCGGGTGTAACCGTCCGTGGTGTGTACTTCCGGCAGCTCCGGGAATGCTTCTTCCGCCTCCGGAACCACCCGGCGCAGGGAGCTGACACGGAGCCCGGGACGGTCAGCCCGTCGGTCGCCGGGCCCGCAGTCTCTGGCAATGGACCGGGACCTTCTGCGGCAGTCGCTGAATTGCCACGGGTCGTCTCTGCTCTCGCTGCTTCGGAGCGAGCAGCAGGACAACCCGCACTTCCGGAGCCTCCTGGGGTCGGCAGCGGAGCCAGCCCGGGGCCCGCCGCCGCAGCAGGCGTTGCAGGGCAGGTAAGGACACGTTGGGGCCGCTGCGCGACGGGAGAGGCGTCCCAGCCTGGCTGCCGCTCCTGAAGCCCGAGGCTGCGTCTCTAGCCGTGAGCACCGGAGGATCGCGCTGGCGCCTTGGGCCGGGGGGACTGTGGGCGCCCCTGGTGTGTGCAATGCCGGGTGCCCGCTGAACGTTTTGTTAGAGTCCGGAGCTAAAATCCCTTGGGCGTTCGTATCTGGGTAGGAGGCCGCACTTTTTAAGTTTGCCCGCCCTCCATCTCCAGGTTGGTTAATGACGGAATGCCTGGTGAAAACTTTTTTTTTTTAAGTTTTGGGGTACATGTGCAGATCTTGCAAGATTGTTACATAGGTATACACACGCCATGGTGGCTTGCTGCATCCATTACCCGCCCCCC